CACACGATGGAGCCAGGGCAGCTTGGCCGGCTTCCTGGTGCCATGGCAGGGAGCATTTCAGGCTGTTCAGCCTGGGCTTGAGGCAGGGAGCAGCAGATCTGATGACCAGGCTGAGCCCGTCTGGCCTGGCTGAGCTGCCTTGGACGCTGCCCCAGAGCTGAGATGCACCTCGCCCCGGACCAAGGGCACAAACCCACTTCGGGGGCCCCCCAGCCGGACGGCTGCCCATGCTGCCAGCTCTCTCGCCACTCACTAAAGAGCTGTCCAGACCACATTGCTCATTAAAACACATGATGCCCTTTGCTGCTGCTGCCCCACCCCAGCCACTGACAGGCTTGTTAGCTGCAGGGTGGGATGTTGCGCGGGGAGCAGACCTGCATCACAGCAGGAGCGGGGCAGTGCCCCGCGCAGCCCTGACCCCGCAGCCTGTGCTGGTGCAGCTGGGGCCGGAGCTGGAGCACGCGTGCGAGCAAAGAGGGCTGGCACCAGCCAGGGCACCCGTGCTAGGGACTGCTTTTATGTGCTTGGCTGAGCGCTCCCCATTGTGGGTGAGTGGGGTGGGGAGATTGTGGCCCCCGACCGTGAGCAAGGGCCCAGCCTGTGCCCCTCCCTGGCAATCAGGACCCAGGGCTCGGTGCCCGGGCACCAAGAGGGCTCAGCTTTGCACTGGAGCGCAGCTCTGGCCGGTGGCCCAGGGAAACAATCCCCAGCCCTTGCCCAGCAGGCACCCAGGGCTCTGGCACAGCCAGGACACAGGACTGTGCATGCCCATGGAGAGGCAAGCCGCCTGATTTTGTCACCCCTGCCCCTGCGGAGCACGAGAGGCCCAGACTCTATCCCGCAGGGCCCATGGCATGGGGCTGAGCTGCAGGGGTCCCAGCTGGATCCGCTCAGCCGGCCAGCCTGGCTCAGGTGAGTGACAACAACGGACACGGGCAGCTCCGCTAACAGCTTTATTTACTATGTCTAAACCTAAAACTATTTACAGTCTGGGCCTGGGGAAGGCCACATGCGACCCCCTGCAAGCCCCCCGGGGCAGGCTGGGCAGTGAATGGACACCCTCAGCACTTGGGGCCTGGCTTCAAGGCCTTGTACTCCACACCTACGCAGTACCTCTCGGGCAGACCGGTGGCTCTGGGAACAGGAAAAAAAACAGTAAGATCCCAGACCACTACCACGACACAGGACACTGCACGGGGCCACCTGCCATGGGGTCTCCAGCTGTGCCAGGGCCCGGAGCCAGCCCCAAGGGGCCCAGCAACACATCTGGCACCGCGGCCCCCTAGGAGCGGGGCTGACCGGTGACAATAAGCGATGGCTGAGCCCAGGTGGAGGGACTCTGCCGTGGCTTCGCTCCCCCAGGGAGACCCAGCCCCCGGGGAGCACAGGGGGCAGGAGGGAGGCTCAGAGCAGGCGCCAGGAGGTAGCTGGAGCAGTACACGGCAAAGTGACCTGCCTCCCCACACTGCCCTGGCCAGCCCTGCTGCAGCTACCTGCCCTCAGCCTGCGGCCTGGGCCCCGGCCCTACTCCTGCACCACCTAGCGAGGGTCAGGGGCTCAGCCTGCCCCAGGATGTGGTGAAGGGGGAGGGAAGGAAGAGACAGCATGAGTTGTGCTGGATGCTGGTGGGCATCACCCTGAGATCGGCGCCCACGGTCCACCCCCACGTGGTCCAACCCCCCCTCACCGGAGCTCCTCCATCCTCGTTCTCTTCAGCTGGGCAATGCGATCGGCGTGCTTCTGCATCTCCTTTTGCAGGCGCTTCCCATCCTCGAAGCAGACGGCCCGCTCCTGCGCCAGCTGCTCCTGGCACTCCTTCATCTGGCGCTGCACCGCTTTACCGTGTGCCATTCGCTTGGCAGCCCTCTCCTCTTGCTGCTTCTGCTCCTTCTGTGCCTGCTCCC